CTTGTATCTTTGTGCTCTAGCTCAACATTTACCTTTTCTGTGCCTCCTCTTCCTAAAAACACCCACCTCTGGGGTTTCTGGGTGGCTCAGTTGATTGAGCATCTGCTTACGGCTCAGGTCATGATCCCTAGGTCCTGGCATCGAGTTCCACATTGGGCTCCCTGCTCAGAGAGGAGCCTCTTTCTCTGCCTGCTGCTCCCTCTGCTTGTGCGCTGTCTGTCTCTCTGACAAATAGATAACATCTTAAAAAGAAAACATTAAACAACAACAACAATAACAAAACACCCATCCAGAAGAGTTTCTTCAAGGAGTAGAGATAATATACATGAAGAATGGTTTTCACCTTTGGTTGTATTTTGGAATCATCCAGTGGATGATTAAACCCACTGATGCCCAAGTCCCACCCCCAGAGATTCTGATGTAATTGGTCTGGGGTGTGGCCTGGGGGCCAGGATTCTATGGCTTCCCAAATGATTGATTTTAATGTGTAGTCAAGGTTGAGACGCCATGATGTAAAGCCTTATCATGGTTCCTGATATGTAGTAGATACTCAATAATTGGTATGTAGGATTATGGTAGTTCAGTGCATGAGAGAGTTAACTTGGAGGGAGAGATTCTGGGGGCATTTCAGGAAGGCAGTAGATTTTTTTTTTTTTTTAAAGATTTTATTTTTTTAAGTAAACTCTACATCCAACGTGGGGCTTGAATTCATGCCCCTGAGATCAGGAGTTGCATGCTCTTCTAACAGGACTAACAAGATGCCCCAGGAAGGCAGTGCATTTTAACCAGTCCTTAAAGAAAAGGGCAATTATGACAGTGTGAGAAAAAGAACTGGAAGTTGGAAAGGTGGGTCCATAGAAGACCAGTGCTCAAGTATCTTAGTATTACATATATCTGTATGAGTTCACATTTCTGTCTCCACAGAGTTGAAGGTCTTAGTCCTCATTGAATGTATCCAAGGATGTTACCTATATTCATTATCTATTGCTGTCTAACATATTAGCCCGAATCTTAGTGTGTAAGGCAGTAAAAATTATTATCTTTCATTATTTCTGTGTGTCAGATATAGATGGGGTACAGAGGGGATGGCTTGTCTCTGTCCCTCTGTATTTGGAGCTTCATCTAGAAGACTTAAAGTCTCGAGTTAGAATAGTTTATAGATTCATTCACTCACATGTGTCTGTGGTTGAAGTTGGCTGTTGGCTGAGGGCCCAGCTGGTGTGATCAGTTGGCACACTCATGTCTGGGCTTCCTTACATCATGGTAGCCGGGTTCTCGGGGTGAGCCTCCTGAGAGAGATAGGGAGCCAGGCAGGAGGTGTATCCTTTTTATGATCTAGATTTGGAAGACTCATAGCATCAATTACAACTGATTTTGTTAGAAATGAGTCACTGAGGCCAGCCTGTATTCAAAAGAAGGGGAATTAGATTCCATCATTCGAAGGGAGGGAGGAATGTACAAGAATTTATAAGACCTATTAAAAAAAATCACCATATTGGGGCATGTGGGTGACTTAGTTGGTTCAGAGTCCCACTCTGATTTTGGCTCACATCATGATTTCAGGGTCATGGGATTGAGCCCCACGGGGAGCTCTGTGCTCAGAGGGGAGTCTGCTGGAGATTCTTTCTCTTACTCTCCCTCTGCCCCTCCCCCCACTCACGTGTGTGTACTCTTTCTGATCTCTCTCTCTTAAGTAAATAAATCTTAGAAAAAGAAAAAAATCCCACCGTATTGTATAACAGTCTAGTTCCTTCTAGCCTGTGATGGCTAGAATCTTGGGTTTGGAATCCGAAGATATGATTTCAAGTCCCATTGTTACCCTTTCCTAGCAGCATGGGTGAATCACTGATGTTAATATCCTCTTCTTTCCTTCTTTCATCTGGTTAAGAGGAAGCCAAGAAAGAGTCAGGTATGTTCATCTGTTTTGCTAATTATTTACAAAAGCACATTATTCTTTCATCTTCTAATTCTGCTAACCTTCCCTGGATTGAGAATAAACAGAATGCAAAGGAAAGAATGACACAGGAAACCATAAGATCAAGTGAGTAAGGAAAATTGAGCGTAAATACAGACAGGGTTCTCTTTAATTCCATGTAACTCAAAATATTTCTAATATGAATAATCAGGGCACCTGGGTGGCTTAGTCAGTTGAGCATATCTGCCTGTGGTTCAGGTCGTGATCCCCAGGTCCTGGGATCGAGTCCCACATGGGGCTCCCTGCTCAGTGGGGAGTCTGCTTCTCCCTCTACCTCTTTCCCTCCCCTCAGCTCATGTTCACTCTTTCTCCCTCCCTCAAATAAATAAAGTCTCCAAAAATATATATATGAATAGTCAATATACTTTTGTAGATAATAGGTACTATTGATAATACTGAAATTATTTCCGGTTCTTGCAAAAAGGTATTATTAAATATATAGATGCCTTTGGGGTGCCTGGGTGGCTCAGTCAGTTGAACGTCTGACTCTTGATTACAGCTCAGGTCATGATCCCAGTGTCCTAGGATTTGTCCCTGCATCAGGCTCTTTGCTCAGTGGGGAGTCTGCTTGAGGATTCTCTCTCTCTCCCCACTATGTGCACACGTACTCTCTCAAATATTTAAAAAATATATAGATGTCTTTAAAATTGCATGTATGTATATGTATTTTATACACACATGTATACACACACACATACATACATATGTAAATGCATAGAAAATGAACTGGAATGATACACACCAAACAAAAGTGGTCATTCTAAGAGAGAGACACGGAATGAAGGAGGAAGGGTTTTTAAATTTTTAAGGATTTATTTTTTTAAAGATTTTATTGATTTATTTGACAGAGACACAGTGAGAGAGGGAACACAAGCAGGGGAACTAAGAGAGGGAAAGCAGGCTTCCCGCTGAGCAGGGAGCCATGAGCTGAAGACAGACGCTTAACCACTGAGCCACCCAGGCGCCCCTAAATTTTTAAGGATTTTTGATGGATTTCAGTGTTGACTTTAAAAAAATTAATGAGCATATATAACTACATTATTTATATAACTAAAGATACTTTTTTAAAGGAGAGCTCTTTATAGTATTCAGTATTAAGTGGGAGGAGATGTTATCTCCAGTAATCAGCTGTCATCTTTTATAGTTGGATCCATAGGTGGTTTTAACTTAGATTTGTGGGGCTCATTTTCTTTTTCGAGAGTTTATTTATTTATTTAATGATTTATTTATTTATTTGTGGGTTGTGGGGGGAGAGAGTGAGCGCATAAGCAGGCAGAGGCTGAGAGAGAAGCAGGCTCCTCGCTGAGCAGGGAGCCCGATGGGGGACTCTATCCCAGGACCCTGGGATCATGACCTGAACTGAAGGCAGTGGCTTAACTGACTGAGCCACCCAGGCGTCCCTAGAGAGTTTATTTATTTGACAGAAAGAGCAAGTGAGTGAGCTCAAGCAGTGGGAGCAGCAGAACCAGACTCCTTGCTGAGCAGATAGCCCGATGTGGGACTCGATCCCAGGACTCTGGGATCATGACCTGAGCCAAAGGCAGATGCTACCCAGGCACCCCTGGTAGGACTCATCTTCAGCCTGAGGAAGTAGGAGTGACAGCCAGCCTTAGCCAGGTGGGAATGAGGCATGAAGCCAGAAAAAAAATGGATAGGTTGGAGTCAGGTGAGATTGCTGCTGGAGAGGGTTAAGAAGGAGCCTTTGAGGGCGCTTGGGTGGCTCAGTGGGTTAAGCCGCTGCCTTCGGCTCAGGTCATGATCCCAGGTCCTGGGTTCAAGCCCCACATCGGGCTTTCTGCTCAGCAGGGAGCCTGCTTCCTCCTCTCTCTCTGCCTGCCTCTCTGCCTACTTGTGATTTCTATCTGTCAAATAAATAAATAAAATCTTTAAAAAAAAAAAAAAAAAAGGAGCCTTTGAGCCAAGGAGAAGCTCTGGCAAAAGCGTTAGGAGCCTTCACCAATTGTTCCATTGATGAATAGACAAAGCTCTGATAATTTATTTTTTTCACCAAGTGGCTGACTTCATCCTGGAGTATCTTTACAAAACTCTATATTGTTCTAATAGGACAGATACAAATCGTTTCCCACCTGTGGGTTTTTCTTCATGCCAGCCCCGCTTGGTGTTGCTTGTCTTTATTCTGTGACCAGGAAAGGAGCTGGAATTCTGAAAAGTTGCTTTAGCCAAATCCTGTGAACAATGGAGGCCTTGTTCAGGGTTATGCACATCAGCTTTTGGAGGAATTTAATTCATCAGCTCAGATCTCTGCTTTTCAAACGCTTGCTCTAGTTAGCATTGTGCTCTCTGTGCAGGGGCAAGCCTGACGGAGGGGCAGGCACCACTTCTTGTCCACAGGGCTTGAGACCTGTGCCCAGTTCTCCTTACACCAGTGAGTGTAGTGTGCCCTGAGCCAGGCCTTAATGGTCCTGAATGGGCCACCAGTGAAACCAAAAGAGGGAGGCAAGCTTTCTTACCATGTTTGGCTTATCCGTGGCTACACAGACATTGTTATAATTTCTAAGATGCCTATGGATTGATTGCACAGTCTGCCAGAGGGGTACTAAGCCAAAATTCAGGAACTGGGAATGATGGTTACCTCTCCTCCTAGAGATGAAACTTTCTGAGAAGTCATCGGCTTTGCCTGGTTTTGGTTCTGGCCAATCATGGGCGATGCCTGGAGCACATCAGCCCATCCTGAAACTTATTCTCGGGTTGTAGATTTATTCCCCCCTTGAGATGGCAATGACTGAGTCCCGAAAGGTGCTGTTTGAAAAAGCTACTGTCCGTGGTGTGTTAAGTGACGTCCTACCCTCTGGGAAGACTTGTGGGAAATTTCTTAGGACTTAGGGGATCCCAGTTCCACATTTGGAGAAGTTGTATGGGGCCTGTGTTGCCTCATCATGCCGGGTAACTGATGCATTATGTTACCACGGTGAGCGTGTGGCTGCCATTTTCCTCATGTTTGTCTCCCTCTGTTTCCCTCGACAGAGCAATTTGGTTTTGATGCTGTGCCAGCAATCTCCTGACAATGAGCTACTGGAACTTGGAGAAAAGAAACTGTGTGCAGTACCGCAGGCATTTTCTGGTGGACAACAGTGTATTTCATGGTGAGCAGCCTTTTGTGTTTGTGAAGTTGGAGCTTTTAGTTTATTTCTGACAGCACTTTTATTCCAGCGCTCTGGATGCAAATATGGTGTCTTTGCTGGGTTGAACCAAGAGCTCAAGTTAACTCGTTTATGGATAATTTGCCCGAGAAGCAAGTTGGTCTCATCCCCTCCAGGTATAAGCAATGTGCCTGCCCCAATAACATAATGGGGTTACCACTTTCTTCCTTACAAATTAGTTTAGATCAGTGCCTTTCCTCCTTTATGCTGTCAACTCCAATCCTATCCTTTCTGATGTCTGAAATTTTGGGAGGCTCAGCCCATAGTAAGTGTTCAGTTAACAAATGCAAGTCATCAGTCTGCTTGTTACCAGCATGGTATGTGTCTACTGTCAGGCCACAGAGCCATTCACAGCACTTACCTGTCATTCTCAGGCGGCCTTACTGCAGCCACCAATCAGAGAGGAATCGAGACTCGTCATTCTTTCCCACAAACTAAGATGAATTGCTTTTCCCCTGCTGGCGTGTGTGTTTTGTGATACACAGTCAGGGATAAGCTCTGTCAATCCTGCTCTCGGGATATCCTTGAGTGAAATTTATTTAAGAGTCAAAGATTTACTTGTGGTCAGTATTTTTGGAGCAGTCTCCATCAAAAGCTGGGGGAGATGTAGAGGGTAGAGGGAGAAATTTCCCAGGGATCAGAGTGCTGTTTAATAATCCTATAATCTCAGCTGCCTTCGACTTTCCAAGTTTAGTTCTTCTTTCCTGATTTGGTGACAGACTAATGCTTTATTATTGCTTTAAGTTAAGTTTAAGAGAAGCTCAGCCTTACTTACTTTTTTAAAGTACTCAAGAGTTGGGTGCCTGGGTGGCTCAGTGGGTTAAAGCCTCTGCCTGCAGCTCAGGTCATGATCCCAGGGTCCTGGGATCAAGCCCCACATGGGGCTCTCTGCTTAGCAGGGAGCCTGCTTCCCTCTCTCTCTGCCTGCCTCTCTGCCTGCTTGTGATCTCTGTCTGTCAAATAAATAAATAAATCTTAAAAAAAAAAGTACTTAAGAGGTTACAATTTTTTTTTCTTTTTTCACATTCATTATGCTACCCCACTATAGGACTTTCCTAGGGTAAGGAGTGCTTTATCTCACAGGTCAAGAAAGGGAAGCAGAGATGAAATGACTGTCTCAAGTTGACCTAGTTAATTATTATCAAGGTCAAAACTAAATCCTGCCTCTACCTTTCCAGACTGGCTCTCCTGGCATTGTAGTGTCTTGCAGGTGAATGACTCCTTAGCAAAGGGGAGTTGTGACCTTACCCTGTGACCCTGAGTTCTACTCTGTTTTTCTGTGAACCTCATCTAAAGTTTCTGTTCATTGCTTCATCTCTGTCTCTCTGTCTCTCTCTGTCTCTCTGTCTCTCTCTCTCTCTCTCTCTCACACACACACACACACACACACACACGGCATTTGCTGTGGGGTATTTTCTGTTACAAGTTTTTATTTCTAAATAAAAAAAGAACAAATATGATAAGTGAAGAAACCCAAGAGTTAGAAAAAGTACCTTTATTTTTTCAAGATTTATTTTGCGTCTGATTAGACAAAGTCCAGATTTAAGTGCTTTCATATAGTATTTTAGAATGCCTTTGTTCAGAGATCTCAAAGGCTTAACGACTTAAAAACAATTTTCTGTGTATTTTTATAGTTGGATTACCGCTTAGTATATTATTATATCATGCTGAAGTCTTGATGAACACTCATATTACCTTCGTTCGACACCTTTGCACTGGTTAATGTTCATCCCATTTCCTGTGGAGGAAGCTGAGGTTCAGGGAGGTTGTTAAACTGTGATCTAAATTTCAAACTCTGATCTTTCTAACTCCAAAATGCCATCATTTCTTTTGTTCCAGACAGCTATCTCCCTTTTGGCAGAGAAATCAGCACTCAGAAGCTTAAGTTCGATCCAGTAGTAGTTGCTCTGCTGTTAAGTAGCTGTGTTATGATGTGGAGCAAATGGTATAATCCTTTGAGAGCCTCGTTCTCTCCCTGTGAAATGAGCCTGCTGCATGAAGAGTCATGAGACTGCATGAAATGAGTCTTGATGATCTCGAGGTTGTCTGTAGTTCTAATACCTGAGATTCTATTGAAGTACTTCTGAGAATTACAACAGTAATTTTTGTGAGGTACCTTTTCACTGAACATGAGATACACAAGGGGGCAGTAGAATACTTAAAATATGAATTGGTTGCTTACACGTTAGAGCTACGGTTTTCAAAGGAATTAGAGATACCAGATTTTCCCAAGATTGAAAGGATGAAAGCCAATTAGAATTATGATTGTATTCATTTATAATAAAGCAGTAGCTATAAGTATTTCTGATAGTGTAAAATACCATTTTGGATTTCTTTTTTTTTTTTTTTTTTAAAGATTTTATTTATTTGACAGATAGCGATCACAGGTAGGCAGAGAGGCAGGCAGAGAGAGGAGGAAGCAGGCTCCCTGCAGAGCAGAGAGCCCCGGGCGGAACTCGATCACAGGACCCTGGGATCATGACCTGAGCCGAAGGCAGAGGCTTTAACCCACTGAGCCACCCAGGTGCCCACCATTTTGGATTTCTGTGCCTAAGGATATGTAATTCGGGAAACAGTGATGTCTCTACTCCTCCTCTTTGTTTACCTCTGCAAAAATGAACGTCTGTCTGTTAAGATAGGAACTTATTTAACTTAATGGAGAGTTGTGAGGAGTCTTGTACATTTTAAGCCAGGAGAGCTCTAGAGATAATATCTGTGTAGAGGATTTCAGAGCGTGCCTGAGAGAAGAGAGAAGGCAGGAACTGTTGGGTCAGAAATGTCTGATACCTTTGGAAGGGGATTCTGGAATATGGGATGTGAGTTTGGATGCTTTTTGCCTAATACCTTGGTTTCTCCCTGTTTACGCTAAGAACTCTTCTCATTTAACCAAAATCAATCCAAACAAAAAGAAAGTCTGTTCCCAATATAAACAGAAACAACCACTTCTGCTGCAAGATAATAGACTTTTAGACTATGCAGACTTTGTTGTGCAAATTGTGCTGGTTGGACTCCTTACATACAGGTTTAAGCAATAGTCAGAGGAGGAAAGAGCTACATGAAAATGGACTATATGGGCTACAGTGATCAATAAAAGTAAAAAATCACTTTTTAAAAAAAGTAAAACAGGGACGCCTGGGTGGTTCAGTCGGTTAAGCCACTGCCTTCGGCTCAGGTCATGATTCCATAGTCCTGGGATTGAGTCCCGCGTTGGGCTCCTTGCTCAGTGGGGAGCTTGCTTCTCTCTGCCTCTGCCTGCCACTCTGCCTGCTTGTCCTCTCTCTCTGACAAATAAATAAATAAAATCTTTAAAAAATTTTTATTTTTATTTTTTTAAGATTTTATTTACCCATTTGACAGACAGAGATCACAAGTAGGCAGAAAGGCAGGCAGAGAGAGAGTGGAGGGGAGAAGCAGGCTCCCCGTCCAGCAGAGAGCCTGATCCAGGACTCGATCTTAGGACCCTGGGATCATGACCTGAGCCTAAGGCAGCGGCTTAACCCACTGAGCCACCCAGGTGCCCTAAAAGTTTAAAAAAAAAAAAAAAAAGTAAAACAGTAACATTTGTACCAAAAAGTAACAAAAGTAACAAAAAAGCAAAAAGTAACATTTGTATACTGTTTCACAGTTCAAAAAGCATATTCATAGCCTCATTTTCTGAGTATGGAGGTGGTGGTATGTTTTCATTACCCACAATCCCACAACCCAAAGAGAAACACTGTTAATAATCTGTTTCTGTCCAGTGTTTTATCTTCTCTTTCCTCTTTGCAACAATGCTAACGGTTGGAATGGAATGGCTGGAAAAGTTAAAATGGCTGACAAAAATGACCTGGTTGAATTGACATGGTTCTGTGTTCAGAGATGAGAGCAGCCCCGATAGGAATTATGAAAAACTCTTTTTTATTTCCCACTCATCTGTCCTTTGCCCAGATTTTTAGGGAATCTAATGATCCGAAGGGACTGTGTACCTACTGAAGAAGTTAATTGCTGAGGTTTGTCTGTACTTGGCTTTTATTCACCTGCTATGTTTGAAATAGGGGGGAAAAAACTAGGGCAAAGAATGATTTGTGTTATATGAATCTTGGGTGTTTTTTTTTTAAGATTTTATTTATTTTATTATTATTTTTTTAAAGATTTTTATTTATTTATTTGACAGAGAGAGATCACAAGTAGACGGAGAGGCAGGCAGAGAGAGAGGGAAGCAGGCTCCCTGCTGAGCAGAGAGCCCGATGCGGGACTCGATCCCAGGACCCTGAGATCATGACCTGAGCCGAAGGCAACGGCTTAACCCACTGAACCACCCAGGCGCCCTAAGATTTTATTTTTAAGCAATTTCTATACCCAATTTGGAGCTCGAACTCATAACCCCGAGATCGAGAATCACATGCTCTACTAACTGAGGCAGGCATGTGCCTTGGAATCTTGTTTTAACAGAGTGTACTTCCATGAATTATTCTTACTTGAAAATTACCTATACTGTCTCCTGTTTCTCTTGGTTGTAGTGAATTGTGGCATATTTTTCTGACCTGGGACAGATTCTTAAAACCAGTAATCAATGTGTTTGCAATTAATATATATAATTTTTTATGCACATACATTTTTCCACACATTTGAGTTCCTTAATAGAGTAAATTTAGAGGTGACTTAATTTTTGTTTTTATGCAGTGCTAGTCATAATTGTGATGTTGGAAAGAATTATTAATTGCTTTCCAATAAATTATTATGGTATCATTCCAACTTACACTGTTACTTATTTCTGTTGTTATCATGTTATAGTGAATGTTTCTGAATGAACATCACAAATCTAGAGTAGAAAGGTTTTGAACTGAATTATGAGTCTCTCTTACTACCCAGGGATAGAGTGAAGGATAGTTCTCTTATTAAGTGTGTAATATGTCTTTTCAAAAAGTGCCTTATATGTTCTCTTACTTTGCCTCAAGCAACCC